TTAATTTAGAAATATCTAATGAATATGCCTTAAATTCAAATTCCTTCAGTCAACTATTATTATTATCATTAATTAAAATTTATAATTTCACTTATAGCAATGTTTCTTGTCATTTTATTCATAAAAGAAGAAATTAAAATAATATAAACCTTGTATTAATTAAACAATAGTTTACTGGAGAAGATAAGTTTTCTTGATCAAAGCATCTGGCATGAATGAATAAATGGATAGATAAATTTCTAAAAAAAATAAATTTTTAGAAGATGAATTAGAGTGCATAATGTATATGCTTAAGCATTCTGTGAATGAAAAAAATAAAACTGAAAACAAACTAAAAAATAGCAGCTGCTTCGTTTACTTATTTTCAAGCTAAACGCTTTTTCATTACGTTTGTATCACTTACATAGTACAAGCACTGACGAGAAATCAAATTTTATTTACTTGAAACTTTAGGAAAATATATTTCATTGATCTGGATTTTATATTTAATTTGATCATATTGAACTGAATTTGTCAGGTTAAAATTATTTGAATAGTTAAAGTGTGGTATTAGAAATGAATGTGGAAAAAATATCAGGAAGATCTAAGTTTAAAATATCAAACAATAATCTAAAATATTTGCCAGTCATATATATCATCGAAAGTTTTGCAATATAAATTTCAGACAAATCAGAATAAATTTAAAAATGCATAAATGACATAGTAAAGATTTACTTCTAATTATTTGCAGCAAATTTGAATTGATCGTTTCAGTAGCTTCCTTGCTAGCAAAATAGCAAAAACAATTTTATTGCTAAGGCTTTTTTTTCACACTATTATAACAATGTAACAATGTCTTGATTTTTTTAAACATTTGTCAAATATGATTATTATTATTAATTAAAATTTAGAAGTCAAATATTATGTTGCAGGGCAATAATTAATCACTGCTAAATCTTATCGAGCCAAAATGCTTTAAATGATTACTGAGGCGACTTCCATCCATGATAAAGTCATGAAAGTTTAACTCAGAATCCTTAGACTCCTCAACAATCTTATCTTTATAAATATGCTTTCATAAACTTTGTATTATTAAGAAGAAAGAAAACAAAATTTCAACTGCGATTACAAGAATTCTTGAATATACTTAGTTTTCAAACAATACAGCAGTAAGCCATTAAAAAATGAATATTCATGCTTTAGTTAGTGCCAGAGATCTGTGTCAAAAGCATTTCAGTAAAAATAAACGCTTCCCAAAAAACATGAGAAACTTATCAAAAAGTAGAAAATTTGATGATTTCGCTTACACATTCTATTGTGTCACAAGCTACTGAATTTAAAATTCATTTATTATTACACAATTGAACTATTTAATAGTCTTAAGCTTCACAAAGCATAAGATCAGGAAGGACTGATTGTTAAGCTTCATCAATGCAAAAATAATAAACCAGCAATTCTATCAGGTAGATCGAAAAATGTTGACAAGAAGATATCAAAATTTTGCTTTAAATTATCTGTCTCTATTTTCAATTCAGATTACACTGCTCATTTACAAGCTTTATGATCCGTGTCAAAAACTTGACTCTTATGTCAATTTTCATCCAGAGTTGGTAGTCAAATCTAATCAAAAAAGACTTTAACGTATTACCCCATTTCCTTTCGAGTGAGTAATTATAAATACCAACTTTGAGGTTGGAAGTAGCTTCTGAGGGACAAATCTGCACACTGGCATTATTCTCACATCTCAATTAAGTGGTTTGGAAAATGTATCCAGAATACAACCAGTTTATAAAAATGAGTGGCTGGGAAGTGCGATCCTAAACTCGTTATGTTCAGGATGTCAAATATTACAAACGACAATTTGATACTCATCGACAAATGAACATGTCAGCAAGACTACATAATTTTCAGTTTGAGATGCGTAAATTGAAAACTAGAATAATCAGACTGTGGTAACATGTCTAATATGAAGTACAATGTAATTCCTGATTGCTACACATTCTAAAAACAGTTTAATTTTTAAAATATGTTACTAAGTGCATATTATCAGTTCGTTCAACTATATTTTGTGATGATAGCTTTTCGATTTATCTTTCAATAGTTACTATTCTGACTCTTTCAGATCATGTTTGGACAGAATATATCTGAGAGAAGACCACTGACTCCGGTAGCAAACTCATGCTTAATAAGCGACGTATATACTGTCTTCAACAACTCATAAGTAACCATAAGACCTACGAATTCAATACATTCATTTGAGGTCAAGCATTGTGTCACAATGACCACTGACCGACTACATTTAAATCGTACTGACTGAGCCGCTCTTTATGAATAGTTTTTGAGAAGTCACATTCTGAACAAGCGAACGCTGAACTACATGATCTAAGATAATTTAATTTTCTTCCTCGAAAGTTTCTTGCTTGCAACTTTCTATTAGTACAGCGACCTACCAATTCTGGATTTCGAAAACTAGCATGCGCAATACCCTTACATTATAATCGGCCCATGCAAAATTGATCAAGGAAAGATCCTTGACCACATTTGTAGCATACAAAAGCCAACAGAATTCTGCAGATAAGTCTACAGAAGATATCCTTGGAAAGACCAACTAAGACAGTCAAATCTGAAACGCTCAGGAATCTGCCACACTTTTTGACTAACAAAGGCACCATACTCCTGCATCCCCTACACATTCAAGGAAAACTTTTGCTAGCGCTTTACAAAAAACCATCGACTTGATACCAGAAAGTCATAAACGATACTTCCCTCCTGTCTTAATTTGAAAAAACAGGTTCACTATACCACAATAATTGTTTAACACATAACGTTACGAAGATACCCACACAATTTGTAAATCATAGGCTATCCCCCATTTACGACTCACTTGCACCTGCAACCTGTTCTATCCAAAACTGAAAGTAGACAGATTACCATACAAAATATGGTAGACGATACCCCACGATCTCATTTTTCATTTCTATCCCTCCACACTCATTCAAATCCTTTTTGGACTGAATACTTACAACTCAACACTTCCATACCTTATACCACCAAAATTCAGGAAACAGCCATATTAAAAACGCTTATATGTCATTGAAACAATTAAAAAACGGCTCAAAAGAAACATTTTTCATCATTATCATCAGCAACAGCAATAGCAACAATAATCGGCAAAAGTCGTTAAAGTAGAAGCAGTTGCGAGCGTAGAAATACCATACTGGTTGACGAAACCCATCTATTGAGGAACTGAAGACGAACAAATACACAAAATCAACTATCCTGAACTTGTCTGGATATTACAAAGAAAATGTATGAATATACTTCAATGTCTCTAGAACATAATGTTGAATGAAAATGAAACGCAGAGGAGTAACATGAATGACGTACTTACAGGAAATAAAAATTGATACAGTGCATCAGAGTAATTATCCATAAGAAAGCAACAACAATTAAGGATGGATAAAAACAGGAGTACCCTACAGAGACTGTTTGAGACATTCGGATTTAAAAAATTATTGAACGTACATAGAAGTGGAAGAAGGAAGTGGGATTTCCAGGGAGGATAATATTTGAGCAAGGAACTTGGGGGCAGTTTACAACGATTCATACAAGTTTTACTTAATATCGCTCAAAACCAAACACTGCCCATAATCCACTCGAAATCAGTTTCAAATGCCAATGAGAAAATAACTCCATATTTTTCAAAAATTGCCTTGCGACAAAATAATTTTCGTAAATTACGAAGTGCTCCATGCATCAAATCAATCAGAAAAAGGAACGCAAATGATTCGTCATAGTTAGCTTTCCATACTATTTCGCATTGGGAACAATTCTATTGAAAAATGAACATAAAGCCCTAACAAGTGAATAAGACAGCGACTGTACGTATTCGTTAATTGCAATTACTATTATGGAAAGACTTAACGCATGAAATGAACAAAACATCTTAGAAGCAGATAACGTAAACCATTGCTGAGAAGTTCAAGGGCGCTTTAACTGGTTTGCAGTCCGACCATAACCTTAAAATATTTGTATCGTAATTAGTGTAATAAAACAATAAGAAAGGGCAAAACTTTGACTTCAAGACCAAAACACTAAGAATCTTTACTTTGCTGATGTAAAAGATTATGTGGATGTATATTAGGCTGAGTTTGAAGACGAGTTGAAGGCGACTGGAAATGATCGATGCCAGGCAGATTCATACCAACTGAACTTGGTATCACGTTTGGTGGAGGTTGGTGCATCATAGGCGGCATATTGCTGCTTTTGTTCCACATCTGAAATCCATTCCGACGATATTTAGAGTATTTAATAACAACGATAATGCACTCATTTTTCTCAACGGAAATAGTCCTGACAAGAAAAATGTCACTGCAGATTATATTCAAGTGACTATTTGATAACCAGTGAGAGTCAGTAGCACGAATTCAAAAGTTAGCAAAAACATTACATAATCCGATCCCGCGAGTAATAATTTTTGATATAAATAATTACTGATATAAAATACAGACTTACTACCAGAGTTTTCCTACAAAAACTTTAAAAAATTCTGTTTGAGAGCAAAAACTTGAAGCAAGATTTTTGTGTTGCTGCCTCAAAAATGCAACATAAGAAATACACATTTTTATCAAAACATACATTTGCCTGAGCTTTAGCTGATGATACTGCAATATAATTGATTAGCTCACGTACGGGAAGTGTTTTTAAACTTGGCAAATTGTTTCGCATCATGTATTCTCCTGTATACTCCTTCAAGCTTTCTCTAAAAGCAATAAGTTAAAAGCGATTTTTTAACGACCAAAACTATATTACGGTTCAATTCCAAGTAATATTACTATAATTTACGAACTAAAGTGTTAGACAATATCAATAAAAGGTAAAAAATTTTAAGGAAAAGCTGTGTGACTAGTAAAACAATTTTTGGGTTCGTAGTGAAATGAATAGTTAGTGAAAAACTTACGGAGACATATGTGGGAAATGATTTCTCAAAGTATCGAGCAGAGTATCACGTCGCGGAGACGCGCTACGACTACTGTCAACTAGCGCATTCTAAATGATACCACAGTAAAAGTCATTGTAAAGATGTATAATTCATGCTTTAAAAATCTTTGATAACAAAGCATGCACAAAAGTAGCATCTTGAAGAGCTTGATGTATATTAAAAAGTCACAATAAGCAAGAATTGTGAATCATACAGCGACATCAGAAGGAGCTGATGTAGGAGTATGAAAACTCGTCCAACTTGGCCACTGATGCGATTGATAATTGCTTCCTTGGTGCTGCTGCTGCTGCTGTTGGATATGAGTGTAATGACTTGGTTGATTAGATAAGCCACCACAACTGCTACTGGCTAAATATTCTTTATGATTTAACACAAAATCCTGAAGTTGCTTCAAAATACAGAAGTTTGCTGCCGTAAAACTAACACGTCAATGTGTTCAACCAATCGCTGCCGCCTCCATTACTCCATCCATTAGTCTGCGCTGTGAAATGACTACTTGTATTTGGAACAACAGGCGGTGGATGAGATAGCTATAAATACTAGTTATCAAAGTAATAAAGACAAATGTATCTGAAAAAACTAGAATTTTATTTAAACCTGAGTAGAACTGCCACCGGTGCTGATACCATAATCAGTACCGATGGGTCCAAATGAGCGACTGGGATTGAGAAGTTCATTGATGGAATTCATGGCAAGCGGTCCATCCCAGCTGGAACCCCAAGCGGTAGGTAATGACAATCCAGATGAAGATGTACTCGTAGATGGTTGAGCACAATTGGTGGAGGAACTGACAGTAGCATTGTGGTTATTTGTATAATCTACTACTGAATTTGTATGGCCTGTGGGTCGAACACCTAAATGAATACATATTAATACATGTGACTTGAGTTATCTTGCCCAATATTTTCTACATTTCAGCATTAGTTTAAAATTAGATAACTTAATCTTTTACTTCTATCACTCAAGGTACCTTTTTACTCTTAATATGATGAAGCTTCTCTTTATACAGCACTATTATGAAAATATACCAATCGGTGCCATTGGTGTTGCAGTATTCGTAGGTGATTTCATGGGCGAAGATAACGGAGGAGCCGGTGCCTTCGACATTATCTGCAACTGCGAACCTGGTGCAACGTTGTTGGGGTTAAGTGTTGAATCTGCAGAATATTATACATCAAAAAAGTACAAACAATAAGTAAAAATGGGAGATAAAAAAAACATACTTATAACTACACTAGCTGCTGGTGCTCGATTTCCAATAACACCAACAGCTGGCACAGGCGGAGCTGAAAGACCTTTCTCATGTCCAACTGGTGATAACTGAGCCGGAGCAGTTCCGATCTTGAATTTTGGTGCTGGTGGAGGTTTTGGTACATTAATTTTTGGCAACTGCGCAATTGTTTTACCAGCCTTGATCTGTTCAATCTGGAAAAATAAATTTTACGAGACCCTGACAACAAAAGTGAATTTTTCGAATATAAATCTGACATTACAACAAGGAAACGACTATAATCTAACTTTTACAAGAACTTAACAGTGAAAATTTAATGCCACATCTTCAACATTAGCAAGATAATAGTATTTCAGTATATTACTTGTGAAGCAAATTCGGTCTTCGAAGTAGCTATGAGAGAGGAGACTTCTTCTCGCTTAGCCTTCCATTCCGCAATTCCTCCTTTTAATTCTTCCATTGACAAAGCATTCCTTGCTCTTGGACTAAATGAAAGATGTAACAAAGTACGAAGAAAGTTTTCGACCCAACATTACATCCCCACCTTTTTAGCAACACTGCCAATGTTTCAAAATATTGATCAAAGAAAAATACTTCTTCAGTTCAGCTTCCAAATCTTTCACTCGTTGTCCCGCATCTTTGTGAGCTCTCTCAAGTACAGCAAGGCCTGTTTCAAGCTTATGTTCGAGTAACGAAACTTCAGCCTTCTTCGCACGCTCAGTCAGTGTTGCTACATTACTTTGATACACTTTTCGTTCCTAAACGATATGTGCATAACAAAAGCATAATAACAACAAACTCTAAAATTTACACCAATTCTCTGAAGACTTATCAATCTTTACCACAAATTTTTCTGAAAAGAATGCAACACAAACACTTACCGAAGACAATGTATTTTCCGAGCGTTTGAGTGCAGAGGATCGTTCATTTAGTTGATTTTTCAACTCGCTGATTTCATTATCACGTCCCCGAATCTCTTCAGCCATATTCTTTCTATTATCTTGGCTTGACTGCAACTCTCTTTGGAGCTTTCTTATTTCTTCAAAGTGCTTCTGACGAAGCTCTTGAGAATCTCGAATTAAAGATTCATTTTTCTCTTGCAATTCTCTAACTCGTTCAGCTTCCCGCCTGAAAATCCAGAAAAATAATGCATCGCGTTTTAGTGTTGCGATTGGAAAGATCGGAAAAAAGAATGGAGACATCGCAGTTCGCAAAGAACAATCATGACTTGTATACAGATATTAGCTATAGAATAGCTCAGTACTAAGAAATTACTAGTAAAAAGATTAGGAAAAATCATTCGAAGCTCTCAAATAATAGGAGCCAACGGTATCGTGAGTTCTACTTACTCATGTTGCTTGATATTCCGTTCCAGTTTCTTTAATTCATTTTTCTTTTGATTCAGCAGTTGACCCGTCTTTTCATGCTTTTCTTTTTCCGATTGCAATTGTGACTGCACCTGTTTCAATATATTTGCATGTTTTTGTTCTAATCTGAAAAGCCCAAAGCAAAAATAAAAATGCATGAATTCAATTAAAAACAAGTCATCTACTATTTATTTTGCTCTAAAGTTATAGTCCGAACTTCTCACAATAGAACTTTTTATCTTACTTTCATCCTCAATATCAAAACAGAGCTCATAATTTAATTATCAAAAACTACTTTTTGTTTCTTTCTTTCTCGGTATTAAGTTGCCGCAATAGAGATTCTTTGTCATTTTCAAGTAACGAAATACGCTGTGCAATCTTCTCCGTATGTTCATTTAACCTTCAAAATCATATTATGATTAAAATATAAGACATGTAATTTTGCACTGTACTAGCAACTTCAAGTACTTGGCTTACTTTTCTGCCTGACCCACTTCCATTAGTGGATTTTTACTCACTGCTTGATCCGCAAAAACACCTATGCGATGTACTTCACGATTTAGCATATAGTCATGTTGGTCATCAGGACAGTCATTCATTAAAGTACTAAACTCATCTGTTTCATCAACTAGGGGTGCCGTTAAGTGATGCTCATCTAATGACCCACAATCGACATCTGAAGTAAGATCTATTATACATGATAATGAATGCTGAATAAATAAAATAAAGTAAACTTCTTGAGCTGGACTCGAAACTACATTTGTTAGACTAGATTTTACGTAAAATGATTCTTTACAAAAAACTTAAATAGCTTTCAAGCCTAACTTTTACCTCCTCTACGTCCATCTTTTATAGCTTCAATGACTTTTTCATCACCAGCTAAAATTGCCAATTTCTGCAGGCAACCTTTGAGAAAAGGACTTTTTGAACGCATTTCTAGAGTATTGATAAATTCGGCAGCTTTGTCAACTACACGTTTAGCATTAACACAATTGACACCAATAACTGATAAAGCAGCCATAACTTGCTGCACCTAAAAAGCGATAAAGACAAAAATAGATGTAAATAATTACTATTAACGAAATAATTGACAGAAAGAAATACGTATTTTTGAAGTTCATCCTTCTGTTATTTAATAACTACTCTGCATTAATTTTAAATAACTTGAATGTTACAAAAAAATCAAGAAATACTTGTGCATCAGTAAAATGTGGCACATTGCCTGCACCAAAATCTAGACTGTTTTCATCGCCAGCTACAGGCGGATTCTGAAAACCATTACACATGATGAATAACTTGAAATTATTGAATCAGAACAAACAAGGAGGAAGAATCAGAAAAAGCAATCGAGACCTCTCCATTCTTCATATACTTCCAGCAATACTTAATATTGAATTTCAGCCACTCTTCAATATACTGGCGTGACCATATGTTCGGCTGCGTTGAATCGTCCATATATGGTTGCATCTAAATTATAAAGATTGTAATAGATTAAAAAGTAAACGTAAATAGTTTAATCACCAAATGAATTCGCGCTCAGCTGCTCTAAAAGTAAGTAGTATAAGCCTTCATATGAAAACGAGTGGAAACGATGCCTGCAATTTCTTAACATACCTGCGGAGTCTGCATGTCATCACCAAGAAGCTGCTGCGTCTGATATAAAGGGAAGACCGGAAAAGCCTACAAAAAACCGAATCGCAATAAGGACATGGTTTCTAGTGAAAAATGAATTTAAAAAATACTTTTGGATCCTGACTGGTGAATTGAGATGTAAAACGTGCTATACTTTCTTTTTGCAGTTCTGCCACCTCTTGAGCTCTATCATCCACTTTTTTTGGCTGCTGCAACCAACAAACATATTTCAGAGCCATTTTATAATAGTCAAGGGTTAGAAATAAAAATAAAAAAACCTCGTCCTGTTTTTTGCCAGAATCATCCTTGAACTCGCTTGCTTTTTTACGACGCCAATCTGAATTTTTATGTTACTGAATACCTTGCTTCAAATGATCTTAAAAAATTTAGTAAATTTGATCAATGAAAATGTTGAAAAAGGCAATACGTAATAACAAATATTTTTATGTCCCACCACCATTAGGAACGGTTTTCTTTGCTGTCTGTTTCTTTGGTTGAGCATAAGGTCGATCAGGGTTCGGATTTGTCATATCCGCGTTTGCATTAACTACAGCCGCGTCCGCTTTTGGCATCAGAACGGAAACTAGAAGTTGAAATATAATGAAATCACAAAAAAACTAGATGGATATAGCAATTAATGGGAATCCATAACTACTGAAACCGATGGAGTACAAAAAATATGAATATCATAACTAATCGGACGGTTTTAACAATTAAAGATTTCCTCGAAATTCAAAACTATAAATACTAATTTTGCTAAATAAAAAGCTTAAAAGTTAGGCTCACTTCTATATTCGCAAATATTAAGAAAAAAAGATATAGAGTTTGAAAAATACGACGCTCAAATCATTCACTGAAATTTTGACATTCTACACAGAACTCCTGGTTATACTGATGTTCATGTCTAAGGCAGTAAATTCTAACTTAAAAAATAAAGCGAATAGCATAGAAAAAATTACAGTCAGTTTGACATGATGCTTCCTCAGTGTTAAGCGAAGCTGGTTCAAGAATAGCTTGGATACAGCTATCGCAATCATCACGTACTGACAAGCCATGTCGAAAAGAACGTTTGATCTTTTTTGAGAAAGGAACTCCAACACCAGTGCGTCCATCATTTCTTTCATTCTAAATATAAAGCAGTTTTTATTGATATTCGGTACACCAACATATAAATTTACAACTTCATAAACTTGAAACATAAAACACTAAAAAAGAAAAAATATTTTACGGCATTTCAAGTTGCACCTAGATGTACAGCTTTTAAAAATGCGCAAATGCAACTAACTACATGCAATAGAACGAAAGGTAGGAAAAAAATTACTTCACTATCAGAAGACATGCCATCTGTTGTACTTGTTTCTTCCTCACTAGAGCAAAGAGCATGCTGCCGCCTATGTGCATCACATAATTCCCATGGCTGATCATGCCCACTTACATCATATGCGCATCGCAAAAGTGATCCTCCTGATTCTTCCGTATCTGATTTCTAAAATTAGATCAAAATTTTTGACTAATAATTACATATTATAAAAGTGTTCAGAAATTTAAACAATTTTCGATGCTCATGAGTTGCAAAATGTGCAGTACCCGTAGATTCGCCGAAAATATACTATCTCCAGTAAATTTTGCTCCTAAAGCAAGAACATCGTTACCCACATAATTGCTATTGATGACCATTCTTTTCTTCTCATCATTACCTACTTTTTCATCCAACCTGAAATGCGTGAAACATAGACTGGAGTCAATATCTGAAATCGAACATTATATAATCGCATAATTTCTTTAAAGTGAAGCATAATTTATACTTTTCAGATCCTTTTTTGATCTCCTCCACTCCTTCTTTTCGTTCATTCCCAAAAACTGACAGACCAACGTGTCGTTGTATTCTTTCGAGCCTCTGGAATAAGTAACAAAAAATCAACGTCAGCGTACTAACACTAAAAGCTTTATGTAATCAAATTATTCAAAAAAAGCACTGCAAATCACTATTTTCTGATAAAACTGACTGATTGATCCTCATCCTCATCTCTACCACTCTCTGCAAGCCACTTCATTTCACGAGCAGCATTTAATAACACATCAGCCGGAGTTTCTGAAGAGAATGACAGACATGTAGACACAAATTGTTTAAAGCTGGAGCATTAAAGGAAATTCACAGTACTAAATCTATGCTATTTTCTGAAAAATAAACCTGGTACATTGCAGGCATTCTTGTGATTTTGTAAAATGGGACGTGCTTCTGTACCACTCGACTCAATTGCCTGCTTTGTTTCTGTTTTATTTAAGGGTGGTGTTGCTCTGAAAATAAAATTTCTTACCAAAATTTCGATATTCCACGCATTCCAACAAAGCCTGTTTATCCGATTTCATAATGTGCTTGTAGATATCCCTCTGATATATACGTACATATGCATATGTATTTCAAAAAAAAAAAAAAACCTGTTTTGGACACTGACGCTCTTTTCCATATTCCCTTCACGCATTTTACTACCAGAATTAGATTTTGATTTATTTACTGATGACTGCTTATTGATCGTGGCAGCACCTGATATAGCTTGCTTCAAAGCACTTTGATTAAGTGAATTCTCTTCATCACCCTTTCCAAGTGGAGGTCCTGAAACTGAAATGATTCAACTACTAGAAACTTGAGAAATGAAAAGCCTTTACAAAGATTAAGTGAAAAACCTTTCTCAATCCTTTCGATACTTTGTTTCAATTTCATTTCAATAAGTTTGGCTTTCTGAGCTTCGAGATCAGCTTTGCAATCTTGATCACGATCTTTGCAAAATTTAAGAGCACTCATATTGACTTCAATGGCTTTGTCAATGAGTCCCCTGCTACTCTGGATATCTGCTAACCTCATATAGTCTTGAATTTTTTTCTCGAATTGCTCATGAGTTCTGGAAAAATGACCTATATTACGCTGAATGGACAGAAATTTTTTTTTTTTTAAATTCTAGACGGCTTTTGCTTAAGTCAAATTTTAAATGATACAAAACAATTACAATATATTCTTCGGCGGTTCGGCTTTAACAGACACTTCTAAAATAACTTTATCATCCTTGATGTACCCTTGACTTTCATCTAATATATCCTGAAAACATATCTCGCATTAGTAATTGTGAAGTTAGTAAGACTCGTCATCAGTAACTCCCTGGCATTTCACAGTTAGGGAAAACATTCGAACAGTGTACCGGAACCAGCAGGACGGATTGCCGGTCGAGTACAGTAAGAGTGCTAGAACACGATCTAACACGAGAATCAAGAAAATAGAAAAGAGTAACGTCCGACTGCTGTATACTACATATGTATGTAATTATACATATATATTGATGCAAATGAAAATGAAAGCTTACAGCCCATGTCATAAAACAAGAATATCCCCAATCATTTTCTTTGGCTGTATACACATGATTAGTCTTCCTCGTGAAATGTGGCACGCCCTGTTTCTGCGAGATCAAACGCAGTTCTGCTGCTGCTTGACAAGACCATGAACTGAAACTACATTTACTGAAATCCTGAAATATAAACCTTTCTTCCTTTAACTTCGCCTTTGAAATATAACGTCTCTTCTCTCAACTCTTCTCAACAAAACTCAATGACAGTATAACAAAACTGAAAGAAGGTATCAACTATGTATTTTGGAAACGAAAAGACAGTAAGCAGTAGCTTACTCAGAATAAGCATCTGGACAACACTGAAGAAAAAATCCCAAACATTTCTGAGTGCCTTTTTTTTGCACAACATGTTGTCGAGGCATTACCATGATTCGCCTAAAACATCAGATGAAAACTGTTGATAAATAGAATCACAAAATTTTCAAAAATGTCTACAAATCTGAACACTGAAATGCTGAAAGTAAAAAAGTACAGACTGCTATCTCAGATGTATTAATTTAGACGAAAATTATAGACTAAAATTTTACAAGTTTGTCACTTACCACGGGACAGCTTGTATTTTTTTACTAGGTCCTCGCACTGTGTCGGCCATATTGGTGAAATTTTGAATCATCAATCGCAGAGTACCGTCTGATGAAGTACTCGATGTAGGAGAAACAGCATCATTACTAGACGACGCGACTGTACCTGATGCAAAATTATCTGTACGATATCCACACTTCTTCAGAAAAAAACATTCGCATCTATATTTTTATTCACATATAAGTAGCGAAAATCTCTAGAGACATAGATTCTCAACAACATGATTTTGTTTTCTACGTGAGTAAAATTTAAGATATGATTTGCGAAACTAAACTCTACACACAAAAATTAGTTAAAGATAAAAAACCTTTGTTTGTAACAGGTTGGGAATTAGTGTTTCGAGAACACTGTGTGATTTTCGGGAATGTTTCTTCATCTGGATCTGTTTGACATGCTACATTGATTTTAGCTTTCCTGAAATATGTATGGAGAATATAACACCCGATCATGAACAATTTTTCGTGATCGATTATTCCAGAATTTTCAGTTTTCATCTATGTTAACTATGCTGCAAATGCGGTATAAAGCATTTGTGCTTAACTCACAGCAAACAGTAAATCTGAACAACCAAATGAAAACAAAACATTTAAATTGCAAACCTCAATCCACTCTGATGTATAGAACATAAGTTACCCCTGCGTTCCCCAGCTATAGCTGACGTTTTAACAACTTCGTGACAATCATTCATTTTTCTAGTCGCTTGGGTCCTTGATACTACTGTTGTAACTACATCCATTTCACCTGAAGTATGCAGTGCATTTTCAAGATTTCTTAATTTGCGAACATTCCCTCAATAAATTTATCAACAGTAATGTAAGTAATAGCAAAAACATAATTTCTCAGAATGTCGCGCACAGTGTGAGTGATTTCTGCATATTTCCATTTCCTCTGCATGTACCCTCATAACGTGCAGTTATTTTAGCATATTTTATTAATATTAGAACAGTACAAGATTCTTAGGACGAAAATGTGTATCAAGACACATCAGAGGAAATGACAAAAATCAAGTGAATACATCTTGACAATGATCATACAAGATTACGGAACGTCATTTGATTTCATATAGTGGAAACCATCTGTAGCATTAGCTTAGTTCCAATAAGAGTGATAAAAGTATATTCACTGAAACTCTGTGATATGCTGAATATTAAATGCAATTTGCCACAGCTATTAGAACAGAGCACCAGTAATCAAAAAAGTTTTGTCCTTTATTCTACGTGTATCAAACAATTGAATGCCGTTTAACACTTCAATTCCCAGTACTGATATCACAAACAGTACCATGAGCGAAAAAAAGAAACCTAAATACGGTGATTAAGTAAACTTCCCCGAATCTACTCTATATTAACAAATGACCTACGATAAATCAGAATAAGCACAATCCCAGGCTTTAGTTGAGACTGATCTTCATCAGTTCTAAACTGAATTTGGCGATGAGTCTTTAGTCTCCACCAAATGAGGCAAAGACGTGAACAAATTTTTCGTACACTGAAGCAAAGTATAAAGCCAAAATACCTCTGCGAAAAAATATAAAAACGCCTCAATGCAAATGCGTTCAACATTCAAGGTTGTAGCTGAAGCAACTATTAATGAGTACAGTCGCTTGTATCAAAACAAGACAGCAACTCAGCAATCCTTCAGTAAAAAAAAGAGATCTGCACTAGAGACTATATTCATTAGATAGAATATTAAGATATTACGAGGTTCATGAAAACAAACGAAAAAAGCCATCCAACTAGACTGGAAACAAATGTTATCTGAATTAGCATATTCCAATGTTTGATAAGAAATAAAAAGGCAGATAACAACAGGTTTTCTAACCCATATCTGCGGGAGAAAAAAAACTTACACTTAGCTCTATAAGTTGAGGCGTCGGTCGGTGTAGATGCACCAGTTTGTCTAGTAGTCGTAGTAATACTATTAGTAGTTGTAGTAGTAATAATAGAAGTAGTAGTAGAAATATGATTATTACTAGGTTTGTCACCCAATTTCTTATCGTCTGAAGTCCTGCGTGATTGGAACAAACCACCGTTACCGCCACCAGCCTGTCGAGAATCCGTTAAACAACCTGTGGTATCATCTGAAGCACCTATTACACCAGTATACGATGATTCACCACTACCACCAACATTTGTTACCGCTGGTCCTTCGAGAGCATTTATTATCTCCATCCCATCATTAAACGAAGCGTCAACTGGTACATTAACACGTGACTGGTCATCATTACAGGTGCTACTGGACTCGTTGACTTCGTTGGTACTGACTGGAGTGCTACTACCAGCCGTTGCTTCGAGTGTTACTTGACTCGCCATAGAGACTTTCCTTTAGTTTATTTCTTCCTTGAAATGCTGCATTTATAACTAAGTATGGCCTCTTTCCGTATCTTACAATGTCAATAACATCTATTAATATAAGTATCAAGTGAAATGCGATTTATAGCAGTATAGATCTATAAATTAAATGCATGAACTCCGCATATCTAACTGACATAATTGGTAATTTTAAAAATACTACATTCTTACTGCTTGTTAAGAGATCAGAAAGAATTACAATCCAAAATGAGAGGAAACACAAGAAATAAATCTTCTTATACCCTTTCCTGAGTTTTATTAATAACTAAGGAATTCTTTCAGCTATTTCATTAAGAAGGTGTTTTGCTCATAGCACTGAATATCAGAAAGCAAATAATAAGCTTCCGAGCCCGGAAGCCGTCATGTGAAGCAAAAGAAGAGATCTAGACTATATTACTAACATAAGCTACCACCACATTGATTTAATCAACAATAAAAAGCTTTCATAGAATGACTTAAAACAAATATTGAAAATTCACTCAAATTATTGGATATACAGGTAATACAACGTTATGAAAGTACTTTCCCTCTTCGTCCAGATTATGATCAATGTACAATAGTCTACTCAATAGCAGCTGATTGCTCACCAATTCTGTGCCCCACCTTGGCTCTTCTGAGCATGAAATCATCCAATGAAATGATAAAATATACTATTGCAGCATACATCGACGATCATTTCTGACGTATTTTCCTTTTCATCTATCCTTTTACGCTTCTGTTTCCAATTGTATAATAGAGAATCTGCCTTAATCACATGCCTCCTCCCACAAACCCCCACCCAAAAAAAAAAAAAAAA